GAAGTTTCCTTAACAAGTTAAAAATGGAACTCCCGTTTGACCCAGTGATCCCACTTCTAGGACTATATTCCCAGAAACCAGAAACACCAATCAGAAAAGACATATGTACCCCTATGTTCATAGCAGCTCAATTTATAATAGCGGAAACAGCGAAACAGCCTAAGTGCCCATCAGCAGATGAGTGGATTAGAAAACTGTGGTGCAGCCCTGACTGGTTTTGCTAGAGCGTCGGAGCGTCGGCCTGTGGACTGAAGGGTCCCAGGTTCGATTCCGATCAAGGGCATGTACCTTAGTTGTGGACACATTCCCAGTAGGGAGTGTGCAGGAGGCAGCTGAATCAACGTTTCTCTCTCTCTCTCATCGATGTTTTTAATTCTCTATCCCTCTCCATTCCTCTCTGGAAAAAATCAATAAAATATATATATTTTTAAAAACCTGTGGTGCATATATACAATGGAATACTACGCTGCTATAAAAAAGAGGGGAATTTTACCACTTGCAACAGCATGGATGGAACTAGAAAGCATTATTCTAAGTGAAATAAGCCAGTGGAATAAAGATAAATATTACATGATCTCACTCACATGTGGGACATAATAATCAACATAAACTGATGAACAAAAATTGATCCAGAGACAAATGGTGGGGAGGTGGGGGGTTAGAGAGCAACCAAAGGACTTGTATGCATACATATTAGCATAACCAATGGACACAGACACTGAGGCGGTGGAGGCTTGGCCGGGCTGGGAATGGCTGGGGGTGGGGGTCAATTGGGGCAAAAGGAGACATATGTAAACTTTAGACAATAAAAAAAAGAAAAAAATTGCATTAATTGAAATAATAATAATGCCTGTACTGGAACCTTTTAATTAAGAGGTTAATCCCATATAATTAAGAGGTGATATGCAAATTGACTGTCACGCCCTCACATTACAAAGATGGCTGCTCTCATGTCGTCACAAGATGACCACCCCTATGTCATCACAAGATGGCCGCCCCCATGTCATCACAAGATGGCCACCACAAGATGGCTGGCAGGGGAGGGCAATTGTGGGCAATCAGGTCAGCAAGGGAGGGCAGTTAGGGGCGACCAGGCCATCAGGGGAACAGTTAGGTGTCAATCAGGCCGGCAGGGAAGTGGTTAGGGCAGCCGTGGGCAAACTACGGCCTGTGGGCCGGATCCAGCCCGTTTGAAATGAATAAAACTAAAAAAAAAAAAAGACCGTACCCTTTTATGTAATGATGTTTACTTTGAATTTATATTAGTTCACACAAACACTCCATCCATGCTTTTGTTCCGGCCCTCCGGTCCAGTTTAAGAACCCATTGTGGCACTCAAGTCAAAAAGTTTGCCCACCCCTGGATA